CGAGTGTCGGTGATTGCAATTGAGCCATCTCTATACAACTCCGAAGCCGGTGCGTGTATCATTTTGATATCAGAGCTGCTCAATCCTACGGCCGAAATTCCCCGGTGAGATCGCTCCTTGCTTCTCGCTTCGGTTCTAATTTCGTTCTTAACTTCTAGTTTTGTCAGCTTGACATATCATCAGTATTTGACTGTTTTGGTTGTGCTAAACTTTGAATTATTTGTCGAGCCATATATCAAACTCTTCCTCTTTCAAAGACGAATCCAACCATAGGTCGCTTTGCTTGAAATTTCAATTTTTACACCTCGAAACAATGCTCGTAATCTGACTGAAGAACATCCGACGATTACATCTCATTGCAATCAAACTTAAGAATCTGTTTCGTGTCTTGCAGGAGATCAATTAAGATCACGACTTGGAAAGGCTCTTCGGCGTCCTGAATCACAGCCTTCCCCCACGGTTGTATTGTTCCTTTCATTCACTTTGATCATTTCGAAATCTGTTTGCATTTGTGTCATTACCGATCGTATTGTTGAGTGGTTGTTGTTCGTTTCCGAATTGTTCTTTTGGCAAGAGGTACCAAGCACGAATCTGGGTAAATTGTTAGTTTGAGAGACCTTTTGTGTTCCCTAATTGAGCTTAGAAACAGATTGAAAACATCTAAGTACTTCTGAAACTATTTAGGAACCAAAACGTTACTTGTTGCGTGAAGTGCATGTTTTAGCTTGTACATGACATTGTTGCACGTTGAACGTTTCTGCTATATTTGTTCGGACTTAGTGCTGCACGTTTTGTTACTTGCATATACCGTGGCTTGCTTTCTCAGTATCGATGGCAAACGTATCCAGTGACAGTTCGATTTATAGGATGATCCAAGAGATTCAAGATCGTATCACACGACTTGAGGAGGTGAGCGAACCCGTGGAATCTGCTAGGGAGCTAAACAAACAAAGTGAGGGGAAGAGAACCATGCCTAAAAATCTAAAGAGGCCTCACCATGAACCCCTCGATGATGGCCGATTCAAGGATCCATATGACCGAGAATATCGTCGACCAACTCGTGATGAGAGGGCTGATCCAAAGTTCAAACCTTTCGTGTTTACTGGAAAGGAGGAGCCCGAGGTTTATCTTGAGTGGGAGCGCCAAATGGATGCCAATTTCGAATGTTATTCCTTGACGAACCGAAGGAAGATTCACTATGCGGCTGCCCATCTTGCCGAAGATGCCATCATGTGGTGGGAACGAGAAGAACGAAATCGACGACGTGCACATTATGAACCGGTTTCCACTTGGAAGGAGATGAAAATCCTCATGCGAAAAAGGTATGTATCTCGACATTATCTTCGTGAATTACAATATAGATTTAACAACATCGTGCAGGGAGACAAGACGGTTGAGGACTATTTTGGAGAATTTGAACAACTCATTGCTTATTTGAGAATCGACGACAATGAAGAAGATCTCATGGCACACTTTCTAGAGGGCTTGAAAGACCAAATCGCTAGAAAGGTAAACCCACACGTATATCGTGACTTGAGACATCTTGTGCATACGGCAATTCAAGTAGAGCGACAAATGAACAAGAAGCCGTCAAAGAATGGGTGCCAACGAATGCCAATGCCAACGCGTATACCCGAAAACCTTTCCAATACCGGAGACTCAATGAAGGCGCAAAATCTTGATGCTCGAAAGGACGAAACTATCTTATATAAAAGAGAAGTCCACACACGAGGTAACAAAACTTCTTCCTCGTGTACTCATTTTACTTGTGAGGTTTTGTGTTCGGAGTGTAGGAACCAAAGTCATTT